TATGGGTTAATTTAAGTTGTAAGAGCTAGTTAGGAACAAGCCTAAGCTATCAACCAAACACTTATAATTAGTAATAAGTCTCTGTGTGGTTATTTGGGGAGCCAGCTGTCAGGATGGAGCTGACTGGTGGGATTGAACACTCTGCTCCAACAACCTGGCAATGGTGTCCATGGGCTAAAGCACATGTCCATTAATATCATGGGTTTTCAAGACACATCAAAAACATATAACAAGGATGTTATTTCCACTGGTATACACCTCATGGAAGAGGTTGAAGGGAGAACTCTGTATTTAAGTTTTGCTAGGTGTCAAATAGTTCTAGAAGCTGCACCAAGGCAATTGAACTAAGCAGTCAGTGGGTTCCTCTGGCAAGAGCTCCCAGACATAGCTTATGCAAAAACTGTGCCTAAAGCACAGACAGCACTCCAAAGCAGAGGCCATACAAACAGAAAATCCTCTTCAAAGGAGCTGCTGGTGAGTCTTGTAGCAAGGAGGGTGTGCCAAAATAATAAATCCCCCACAGGCCCCAATAGCCAAAGTATCTGTCACTGTCTTAGAAGACATCCTCTACTTATATACAACTGATCCTCAATTAGAAAACAATTAGCTGGCCATGCTGGTCCCTGCCAGCAATCCTAGCACTTAGGAGTTAAAGGTCAAGGGCATCTTTGGTTATGTAACAGGTTCAAGATCAGCCTAGCTACATGTGACCTTGTCATTTAAAAAAATATAAACAAAAATAAAATAAAAATGAGTAATTTATTTCTCCAACATCACAAAATATGTAGTCTAAATGCAGGTAAAAAAAATGGTCTTTATTTTTTCATTTATTATATTAAAAAAAAACCGTGTGTGTGTGTGTGTGTGTGTGTGTGTGTGTGTGTGTGTGCATGTGCCACAGCACACACATACAGGCTGGAGGACAATGCAGGAATCAATTCTGCCCTTCCACCGTGTATCAGGTCAGTAGTCAGGCTTGGAGACAAATGCCTTAACCCTGCTGCACCGCCTCCCCAGACCAGGAAAACAGACACATGGAAAAACCAAGTGCATTTCAATACCATTCCATCCATTTGTCACAAAATTGCTTGACGTAGCAACCAATATTTGCTGTGTGCATTACTGTGTGCCAGCAAGTGCTCCAAATGCTTTAGATAAAGTTGCTGTGTAAGCCTCACAACAGAGCTAGCAGACAAAAAGTATTTCCATCCCCTTGTCCTGCTTAGCTTTTATTGTCTACTTGGCACAGCTGAGAAAAGGGAGTCTCCATTGAGGGACTGTCCAGTTCAGTCTGTGGCCACATCTGTGGGAGTCTTTCTTTATTGATGTGGGAATGCCCATCCACTATGGGCGGTACCATCCCTAAGTAGGTGGGACAGGGCTGTCTATAAGAAAGCTGGCTGAGCATAATCGAGTCAGTGTGTGTGAGCGAGCCAGTGAGTATGAGTGAGCCAGTGAGCAGTGTTCCTCCAGTCTGTATCTCCAGGTATTTGCTTTGAGTTTCTGCCTTGATTTCCCTCAGTGGTGGAGTGCCACCTGGATGTGTCAGCTGAAATAACCATTCCCTCCCCTACACTGCTTTTGGTCAAGGTGTTTGTCACAGCAACAGAAACCAAATTAGAACCGACCCTTTGGTGGGTAATAGACAGAGCACTCTATAATTCACCTTTTAATGATATATCCTACAAGGGACTAATAGCAAACTACTATGCAAATATCGTCTTATGCAGCTCTGAATTTTAAAGGCTACATGCTAGCATGATGTGGAGTGTGGCCCCATGTACAACCCTGTTTGTATATGCTTGGTGGTTTGACCTAGCCCCATCCTTTCACTTTCTTTTTCTTCCTTGTAGCCACCTGTAGATATTGGGAACACCGTGGGGAAGCAGAGCCCTCAGGGTTGTGCTTGACAGCAGCCTTCACCCCAAAACGCAGAGCTGGCTTTCACATAACACACTAGCTCCATATTAAAAATGTATTTCTCCTCTGACCCTCAAGTACAGACATAGAATTGACTTTTTTTCTCTTCCATTTCAAGGCCAATAAAGAAAGACAAGGCTGAGAATGAGAAGATTCTAAGTAATATATAAACATCCGGTGCATAGACATGCACCAGGTGGGGAAGAGAATTGAATTAACAAGGTCAAGACATGTTACAGGGAGCCAACCCTATTATTCACGAGCAACACTGAACAACAAATTCTCTAAGAACAGCAAAGGTTCTGTTTATGCTGGGTGATTAAAATAGAAAGGAAAAAGAAAACCCAACTACACATCAGTTTAACACTGAAAGGAGAAAGTAATCCTTATCCAATCAGACTTCAAGGCCAGCCATGCTCCTCTTCAATCCCAGGATCTTAGTTGCCTGCATCTTTACTGCAACCAGCTCTGGGCTATTATTTCACTGAGTAAAGCAGGTTTTCTTGAAATAAAAAGTGCACTGATGCCTTGTTTAATTTTCAAGATTGTAAACGGGGATAGCATATTGTTTGAAGCTTTGGGGAGACACTGAGGGGCAGAGTCTGCACCTTACAGTCGGGAGATGCTGGGGGGCCAGAGTCTGCAGCTTACAGTGGGAAGATACTGAGTGGGGGGTGGGCACAGCCCATAGCTAAAGCACGGATGTTCCCTCCACCACAGAGAAGTTGGAATGGGGACTCTCAATCCTTCACTCTGTCAAGGGAAAAACTACAGATAGCACTGAGGGTCAGGTAATCAGCTTTTAAAAACATTCCCTTCCTTTGTCGTCCAATAAAGAAACATCTGGAACTGTCTGCTTTACTCTGAGCAGTCTTAAAGCTTTCCAGTGAAGGAAACAGGGTCCAGGAAGGAATAGAAAGAGCCAGTTTCTTTCCATGCTTCCTCTCTTCCTTTCTCCGTTACAAATCCCACTTTCCCTGGAGAGACAGTCCAGGAAGGTAAGAGAGTCCTGCCTCCTCTTTAGTCCTGCTAAAGGCATAGGTCTGGGCCATCTTGGAAGCATACAAGAAGGTGGCTGGAAATAAACATCCTTCACACTGATCAGGTGGGACAATCATCAGGAGGTGCTGAGAGCTCTCAGTGGACAGCTGTCGCCTCGGTATCTATTCCTTCTTTTGCCAGGTAATTGGGCCTTACCTCCAATTTGACTTCCAGTTTTCCATAGCATCACAGGTAAAGGTATTAATTTTGGGTACATGCTTAATTAATGGCTGTACCACTTTTTTTTTTTTTTTTGCACACTCCCTGGGTTCCTATCTAAGTGCTGGTAAATGAAAGCATAAAATAGTAAGGAGGACTATCTGCAAGGAGCACACCTGCTGATCTATAGATCTGATAGAATAAACAGAACCGTGAGAAAAACCACAACAGATCCCCCCCAGCTCTACACAAAACAATGTAAAAATATAAGCACAGTTGTCAATCCCTCAATCATTTCTTTCTTTGCCTGTGGTGATGTGACTATCTAATTCCACAGCAGGAATCTATTAATTATAAACTAGAAGCTCAAATCTGGGCCATTAGCTCTTAATCACAAGGAAATATAAAGAAGTTTCATGCTACAAACACTAACGGCGACAACCTTGGCAGAACAGGAAAAACTGGAACTGTCCTTGAATGGGGTCTGCTTACAGAATTTTCCAGCATCGTATCTGTTTGTCTCTGTGCCCTTTTACTGGCTCTGAATATTCTGGGACATCTATAAGGCTACCCTGACAAGAAAATTAGGAACTCCTCAGCGATACAATGTCTAAATCCAAGTGAGGAGTGATCCCTCCCCCATCCTCACAATAAGCTGAGCTATCACAGATGAAGAGAATCAGGTACAAGGAGGCACCTTCTCAATCATCTATTCCTCCTCCTTAATTACAAAACAGGCATGAGAATTCAGGAGCTATGAAATTAATTATTTTTTTGAAAAACATTCTGTTCAATTATTCAGTGTAGAGAGTAAATGATTAAATGCTACCAACCCTCCATTTTCACAGCTCTAATGAACATTTTCTGTTGGTGTGTGTACCTGACCTAATCAGAAGTTATTATGGAAACAAAATGCAGCTGTCTGTGCCTCAGTATCCACCAGGCAACGGTTCCCAGAGACCAAAGTCCGTGGAGACCAAAATCTGACGATGCACAAGTTTCTTGGGCAAATGTCACAGTGTTCCCATGTCACTTACCTCCTGCATACTTTAGTCATCCTGTGACTACTTATGTTACCAAAATGCCATGTAAGGCTGTCCAGGGAAGTGTCTGCACATTTTCAAAATAGAGGATATATTTTCCTTTTAGGATGCTGAGCCTGCTATCTGTAGGATGCTGATGGGACACTTCAACATCCAAGAAGATCTAGATTTTCTGGTCCTTACTCTGCAGCTTACTGAATTAAGAAGCAGAATCTGCAGAGCAGAGTACTACATTTTGTCCTTCACCTCTAATTAACAATTAGTCTATTTGACACAAGATTGTCCTTTTCTTTATAACTCATCAAACTGACATCAATACGCTTATCGTACTGTGACACCAGGACAGGAGAACTGAACTAAAACTTCCAATATTTTCATCTGTCCAAACAGACTGAAATGTGTATGTCCAGAGCATCCCAAAGATTTCCCATATGTTTTCCCTTGGCTTGCTACTATCTCTACATTTTCTTCTTAAATTTCACTCCATTCTCCAAACTTAGAAGTCCTTGCCACACTGGCATTAAAACTATACAATGCTCATTTGTGTCTAGATTCTTTCTTTCTCCTAATGACTGTGTATACTTGATTTGAAATGTTACACGGTATGAAACAGAAGGAATACAGACTATGAACTACTCCACTGCAATCCATCTTTTTAATACCCTTGTCTCTAATAGATCATCTACTTTTACACCATACTAATTTATGCAACTGACTGCAGGTCAGTAATCTAAACCTCCCATAAGGCAGAAGTGACTCTTATTAGAGAGCAATACTCACCTAAAACCAGCCTTAGACATATATCACAGACTAAACCTGTCTGAAAGAAGAGCTCACCTTTCTCCTCCTCCTCCTCTTCTTCTTCTCTTTGGCAGCTTGGGCCTGCTTGTGCTCCCAAACCAGGTTGGTCAGATTGGCCACATACTCATCGGTCTGCTGCAAAAGGTATGCTAAGCGTCTGTCTTTCTTTTGGTCAATGAGTTTCCTGTAGCCCTCCTCATCTTCAGCCTGTTCAGGAAGGAGAGAAGGATGACAGCATGACCTCCTGGACACTCACAGGTCCACTTCACACTCCTCTCTACTGTGCACAACCAGAATCTGGTGGTGCCTGGGGCCAACAGGATGAGCTAGGCTGCAAAAGCTACCAGTGGAATCTGCAAGTTGGTAAATTTAGAGCCCTGCAACACCTTGGGCCCATGACTCTAAAGTCAGTAGCATAATTATCACATAAAGCCCCACTGCGTGTGGGGTATGATCAAGCACTGTAAGTCAGCTCTTTCACGTTCTTCTGTGCTTCTTGAACTGCTCAAAATTAATGCAAAATCTGGTGCATTACAAGCCTAGGTGACTAGAGACAAGCCATTTAGCTCCATTAGGTTCTACTGAGTAACAAAACAAACCCCATAATTTCCACCTCCACCTCCCATTAGGTAACACGATGAGATCAAGTGGAAGAAAACTCTTGATGTCCTCTGAGCCATTTAGAGAGAAACCTCTTTTAGATGTCCCAGCTGAAAGAACATTCTAAAATATTTTTTCTATGGCACCTGAATAAAAGGAGAACACCATACAATCTCTAAGAGGTGGCTCTATCCCAATAGAGCTCAGGGACTCAGCTGTAGGGTATCACTCCAGCATGTGCAGGAGAGACAGCAGCTTCATCACTCAGTCTAGCTGCTGTCTGTCCTGTGAATGAGCATGAACTCCAATGCTATTATAACTCTAATTGCTTTTGGCTATGGTTGATCTCACTTGAAGAAAGAGTGATAAAAAAAAAAACCTTCAGTTTCTCTATTATCTGTATATCCCATCATTTAATTGCAAAAATTAATGATTTGCAAATGCTTAATCACTAGTGTCAAACCAATCTGTTGCTGGAGTTCTGATACAGTTTTCCTTCAGTTGAATCAGACAAATTTGCCTGTTGATTGGTCTGCTTACTATACAATAGTCTCCCTACCTAGAGCAAAGACTTCTGACAGCATTCTCCATCCCAGAAATGGGGGAAGGTGGTGAGATTTTAGAATGTCTCAAATGGTGCTTATTGTCAGGAGCCCCACCCCTAGATTAATAAAAACAAAACACCAACTGGGACCCCAGCAAGGAAGACAGTGTCTTAAGAACTCGTGGAACTGAATGCATGAGGTGAGGCTTATTCTGACCCACTCAGGAATTCTGTCCCACACACAGCTCTGGTCTCTTATCACCTGCACAGTTTTGTTACACTTCTAAGTTTCATGGTGTGATTTGTCCAAGTGCGGACACAAATGGTCAGTAACACCCAACCCTCAGGCCAATGATCTAAAGCTGTCTGTAAATCAATTCAAACATAACTGCAGAAGGAAAGATGCAAACCAACTTTGGGGACAAAAGGGGTGCCACAAAAAACCTTTGAAATGAACTTAAAAGTCAGTTTGAGAATGACTTAGTAAATTTATATAATAAGTAAGGTTATAAATGCCAAGCAGGGGGATGGGAGAGAATGAATATGAACCTTGGATTCAAAGATAATACCCTTGTAAGCTGTTCATTCCAAAGAAATCTTAGTTGCTCATCTCAAAAATATCATACGTTTAAAGGGCCGCATTTGCCATTCCTCCTGATGTGACTGTCAAACTCCTGCACAACACAGCGCTTGCTTTTCTCTGAGAAGCTATGTAGGTGGATGATGATGGTACACAAAACTACTATGGCTCCTCAAGTGAAACCCTGGATTATTAGATGCACATTGCTCATCTCAAAAATATCATACGTTTAAAGGGCCGAATTTGCCATTCCTCCTGATGTGACTGCCAAACTCCTGCACAACACAGTACTTGCTTTTCTCTGAGAAGCTATGTAGGTGGATGATGATGGTACCCTAGGGCACAAAACTACTATGGCTCCTCAAGTGAAACCCTGGATTATTAGATGCACTGTGTAGAAAAGATGTACTCTACCCTCCAGAAGTGCAGGCACCTATCTGTCTGTGTGTGTGTGTGTGTGTGTGTGTGTGTGTGTGTGTGTGTGTGTGGGTGG